GGTTGTACTATCTCATTATGGAAGCTTTGCCACAGAAATGCCAAGAAACTGGGATGATCGAAATCTATTTGGGAAGACCCGAGTAAGGAGATAGTGATACTTTCAATGGTGCTACAGGAAGACTAAATTTAGAAGTAATAGCTGAGATTAGAGAACCAAATGACAACAAGATCCTTAAGTAGGAGGATCTACCAATCTAACTACCAATTGGAAAGAAGAGTAGTACACCAACCTAGTTAGCCAACGTGAAAAACCGGGGTGGTCATCTACCATGACTAGGATTTGGAAGTTAGATTCTACCTAATGACAAGGGCTAGGTGATCCCTAGAGACTAGCCAGACCCAATTGAAAGAAAAGGACATGTGCTATAAAATTATATACTATGATGAGACAAGGCATAAGGCACCTAGAGTCTAGCTAGAGTCAAATTTTCTGGGTCACAGGTTGGAAGTAAGGGAGGGACCAATAAGGTAATTACGGAAAAAGGAAAACCCAAATATAAGTACTAGGGTTGAAGTGAACCTTACAAGAGTATAGTGGTTTAACTGAGTTACACCAAACTGTGAGTAAGAGTCTCAGCAACTGCAATGACTGAGTCAGCTGAATATAGGATATGGAAGGCTCTAGTAGGTTTATCTTGAGGATAGCCATGTGTCTGCTCAATAAAGAAATACAAGCCAGTAATTAGTCAGTGCAAACCCAGGATAAGTCACGGAAGTCCTAAGACAGAGTATGCAATCTAGTGGAATGGGCCAGATAGTAGTTTCTGGGTTAGTATGATATGCTAAAAATGGTTAGGATCAGAAAGTTTAAATAGGTAACTTCCTAGTTGGGTTATAGATACGGCATCTAGTGTAGAACCTGTGGGCAGACTACTTAAATAAGTACTCAAAAGGTGCACATGTGGCTAGTTGTATCTTCATTGTAACTATAATAGCAAATGATTACTAATAAAGAGTTTCCATAGCCAAAAAAGTCACCTTAACACTGAAAAAAAAAAAAAGCTTACAACCCTTTGTAGACTACAAATATAAATAGTTTTTTATATCTGGATAGTGCAGTTTATATAAATCTTTAAAAAAAAAACAGACTTTGATATTATAGTATTAATGAAAATTAAACTAGATTATATTACAGTATTAGAAAAACTAGTTAGAGATTTGTTCTTACTAGTGCTAATCAAAGTAAATCAATCTATTTATATAAATATAAAGACAAGAATATTACATACGCTTGCAACAAGAAAAAACTATAATTGGCTCTTATAAACTATAAAAAAGACTATATTAGTACTAATATTATATATGTATGTATATGTATACGTATATATATATATATGTAAGTAAAAACCTTCTGTATGCTTTGTTGTTATCGTTGTTTAATTGTTAATATTTATAGCAATAAGGTACATATAGTTTCTAGTAAAGAAATCAGATGGATCAGTATATCACTTCAACTAACGAAAACTTGATATATGCATTAAATAACACCTAGTCTAAGAATTGGAGTTGGGTAAAAATTACTGTTGATCATTTAATTTTGGCTATCTCATATTTATCTAGTTAATCATATGCAATAACACACTCTAATTGGTTAATATATATGTGGGAAATGTATCTCTTGTAAGAGATATATCTTCTGTGAGAAATGTCTATAATTTTTTTTTAATATAAAAAAAAATTATTAAAATAACAATCAATATAAACACACTTAGAAATACTTCACAAATATTCACAAATATTCGCAAATATTCGCAATAATTAAAGAAATTTAAAAAAATTATTGTCTAGAGCAAAGTAAAAAATACTTAATTTTTATGCAATAAGTGATACAAAAATTACGTTTTTGATGCATGTCAATCAAAATAGTTACTTTTTTGATGCATTTATATAAATTTTATAAAGATCGCATCAAGAACATAACTTGGAAATTTTTTGTCTATCTCACTGTGTAACTATATTTAGATTTTAGTGTAATGAAAACATATATATTTATGTGTTTGTGTGATATGATGATTATCATGTGCTCCAAACACACAATGCTATATATTAACTTAGTATTATACTGAAATATTAAGTATATTTTTATTAAACTATAAAAAGTTATTTGGTTTTATTATTTTTATATTATTATACTAAAAATATTTTAAATTTTTTAAGTCTCTTTACATTTATTATAAACTAACTTTTTCTTTAATATTTTTTAAATTTTTTTTACATTAGATAGCTATTATCAAAATATTATTATAATATCTTATAAAAAAATTAAATATTATTTAAATATAGTTTAAAATATTTGAAATATTTTGAATATTTTTGAAAGATTGTTAAAAATTTTTAAAGGTATGAATCTTAGTTTCAAGAAAGTTATAAAAAAGCAAAATAAGGCAAATAAAGGCAAGAAGACTAAAAAAACTCAAGAGAAGAGTTCAAAGAAAAATTAATTGTTAGTAAAAGTTTTCAAGAAAGATTTGATGATTTACAAATTGAAGAAAGTACTAGCAATTAGTCAGCTATATTAAAAATACTTGAAGGTTTTTAAATATTTTAAATATTTTTAATTTAATTTTATAATATTTATAATAATTTAATTTTTTTAAAGTATCTAAAAGCACTATAGCTAAACTGTTAAAAAATCAAGAAGAGTTGATATTTGAAATTAGGCAACTTTGTTTGCAAGTAACTAGATTAAAAAATTGTTTGAGAGAATTTAAAAAAAAAATTAGTAGACAAATATAATACTATGAATGAAAAGGCTTTTAAGTATAGAAGTAAATTTTTATTTCTTTAATTAATTTAAAAATATTCTAATATAATTCAAATAATAGCAAATGATAAAAAAAGCTGCTAAAGCTATATTAGAATATTCAATTTATCCAAACAAAAAAGAACTATTATCAGCAGTAGAAACATATCAGAGGATGAATAATGCTGATTTTATAAATAAAATATCAAAAAACTAGTTGAAAATTTATTAAAGGACTATCACTTATTATGTAATTATAGCCCACTTCAAATCTGGGCTGACAATTTACTAACTCTGGTACTCTAGAAGTTAATTTCACTCTAGAGAGGGGGGTTATAATTACGTAATAAGTGATAGTTCCCTTATACAAAGAACTTGAGTAGACTAGTAAAAATTTGTTTTATTTTAAATTTTTCAAAATATTTTGCAATATTTATAAAATATTTGAAATATTTCAAAAATTTTTAAATTTTTGAAACATTTCGACTATTTTTTAAATATTGCAAAATAATTTAAATTTTATATTAATATTAATAATAATATTTTTTAAAGCTTTTAGAAAAAGTTAGACATTTGCAAAATACTTTAAATACTAAAATTAAAAATACTATATATTTTATTTTTAAAGATCTTTTAGAATGTATTAATAACAAATCAACTTCTAAAGAAGTTTTAAATTAGAAAAAATTAGCAAAAACAAAAAATTAGTATGAAAAGCTCTTTAAAAATATTGAAAAAAGTTCTAAAGATACTTATATAATTCAAATTTTAGAAAGAATTTGGCTAACTGGTAATGCTTTAAATGAAAATGCTGCATATACAATTGCAGTATGCCAAACTATGCTTAATCCAAATATCAAGACCTTAGCAATTAGTGAAAAAATTATACAACAAAGAGTTAAAAGAAATCTAGTAAGTCTTTATTATTGTTATTTTCTAAATATTTAAAAACTTAACAAAATTATACAAATATATTTGAATTATAGTGGCATTTAGAAAAAAACAAAGCATTTGCTTTATCTAATTCTGACAAAGATTCTTTAAGCTTAGAAAATAGTAAAGAATTTGAAGAATTAAGTTTAGAAGATTCAGATTAAGTAAAAAATTTAAATATATTAATTATTATTATTTATTAACTCTATATTTAAAAAATTTAAAATAAGTGTAACAAATTTAAAAAGTCTTTGAAGTATACTGAAAAAGTATGTATATATTAAACCTTTTTAATTATTTTGAAAAATCTAATATTAAATAAATTTTAAGCAAGAAAAAAACCAAGAAAAGGTAAGTAATTTTAAATATTTATATAACATTAATTAAGATAATCTAGGTTTTTAGAATATTCGAATATATTCAAATATATTCGAAAAAATTTAAAAGAATCTAAAGAAAGCTGCAAAATTTTCAAAAGTAATCAAGAAGTCTTAAAAGTAACTAAAGTAAGTTCTGATGAGCAAGAATTAGAGAATAATAAAGAGACTTCTGATGAAGATCAAGATAATTTAGAAGAAGAAAAATATACCTTCGAAGAAGATCAGGAATAACTATAAACCTTTAAATTTTTTTTGTTTTTTTTATTATATTTAAATAATATTACTTTTTTTTCTTTTATTTTATAAATCAATAAATTTGCTTTTATTTGTTAATTTAATTAAAATATATTTTAAATAAAGTTAAATATATTTTATTGTATTAAAGATAAATTATATTTTTTAAAAATATTTAGAAATATTTATATTTATTAAATAAATTTAGAAAAAATAAATTAGATCAAATTTCATAATCTATTGTAAATATTTCTAATATGTGTATTTAATTTTCAAAAAAAAATATTTTAAAAATTATTTGAAAATTTTCGAATATATTCAATAAATTTCGATTTATATATTAATTTTATAATTACTTAAAAGATTTTGAAAAATTTTGCAATTTTGCGGAATATTTTGAAATATTTTGAAATATTTTGAAATATTTAGCACAATATTTCACAAAATTTCAAAATATTCTGAAATATTGTGAAATTTTTTGAATATTTGCTATATATTCAAAATATTTTTTAAATTTTTTATTTTATATATTTGTTTTTAATATATTATATTTGCAAATTTTCACAATATTTTTCAAAATATTTTGCACTATTTTGCGAATTTTAAAATTTTGCAATCCGTCATGTCAATTGCAATTCTTTTGCAATTTTTTTGCATGCAATAACTTTTGAAATTTTGTATCTATATTTTTTGCCAATGTATTTAACAATGCTGATATTTATACCGTATAGCGCAGACCATAGTACCTCGGGTATAATACATTCCACAGGCAAAATTCAAGTTAGTACCCAGGTATAATAAACAAAGGGTACTTTACATAGAGATGGATATAATGCAATATATAGTATCCGGGTATAATCATACAATACCCGGGTACTATATATAGCATTATACCCGGATACTATATATAGCATTATAATGATAAGGATATTAAATCTTTTTCTAAAAAGGTAAGTATAACCAATCTTTGCTTGTAGCATATTAGGTTTCACACAATACTATATTTGTTACGTAGTGTAATGTAGAGGATAGTATGTATTACATATATGCATAAGAGTATGTACAGTATATATCGGTTATATTTAAAGAATGTAACACTTTACATAAAAAAATAAAAATTAAACCTGCTTCTATCTTCAAACTTACTAGTACAAAAAAAAAATAATGAATTATTAATTTTCATAGATGCTAAAGCCGGGAATATAAAAGTTATAGATTATTATACAAAAATAGTATAAGCACAAAAAATGAAGAAGAAATAAAAAAACATTTGAATATGTAGTATTGAAGGTCGCTACAAAAATGGTACTAGTATAATAAAAGAACATTATAATTGAATCTGAATTCTGTTAAAGTTAGAAAAAGAAAAGATATAGATTGTTATAATAAAGAGTAAAAAAAAGCTTTGGATGGTATTTAAAATCTTAAAATAGCAATACAATTCTAAATTCTGTTATGAAGATAATATAAAAAAAATTCGATCTAGTGATAATATAATCTGATGAAGTAGCATAAAAACTATAAAGGATGAAAAAGAACTTATATATATAATATAGAAAGTATTCAAATAAAATTTGTATTATAAATTATAATTATTAAATAAAGCTACTAACTTTTTAAATAAAATAACTAAAGCAAACTTTTAAATACTTATTAGAAGCATCAGTAATAAGAAACTTTATACCATATACTTAGCTATTATGTATAATCAGCTGATTACCTAATCACAATTAAAATCACAACTATATAAATTTAAGATCTTAAGCAATACGAAATCAAAACAGTAAGATTTTATCATAGTTGTTTGTGGAAAAGGTGTTAAAAAAGCACGTAACAATAAAAAAAAAAGGCGTCAGTGGTTTGTATAAGAAAAATTAATAGTCTTATATTATTTACAAGAAACTAAAAGTGTAAGAGCAATTGCAAGAAAGTTTAAACTTCAACCTAAACAAGTACGTGATTGGAGAAATAAAAAAAAAACATTAATGGCAGCTGCACTGTGAATTCAAAAGTTAAATAAAGGAAGATTACCTAGCTTTCCAAATCTTGAAACTGAATTAGCTTTGTGGATTGAAGATATTCGTAGTAAAGGAAATATAGTTTCACATCTTATGGTTACTAAAAAAGCAAAAAAAATAGCAACAAGACATGCTTATCAAATTTAGTATCCCAATCTTATCTCATTTAAATTTTCAAATAAATAGTTAAATGGATTTATAGTTAGGCATGATTTTTCAAATTGTCACTGTACTACTGTTTCTCAATATCTTCCTAATGATCTAGCTGAAAAACAGCAAAATTTTTTAAGCTATATACTATACCAACGTAATTAGCATCTTCTAAAGTATATAGAAAATATAAATGAAACTCCACTTTCATTTGATATTCCCTATAATACTAGTTTAGAAAAAACTAGTTCAAAAACTGTGAGAATTCACATTACTGGTTATGAACAAGCAAACTTTACTATTATTTTAGCATATATGGCTAATAGAGATAAATTACCAGCTGTTATAATTTTCAAACTAAAGAACTACCCAAAACGTGAAATATTTCCTGTGGGTGTTTATGTACATAATAATGAAAAAGGTTGGTGCAATGAAGAAGAGATGCTTTGATGGGTTGAAGAAATTTGAAAAAAGCGAAATTCAACTGGAAATCCTCAATCTTTGCTAATTTATAATGCATTTAAAGGACATACAGTTGATTTTGTCAAAAATAGATTTAAAGAAAAGAATACGAATATTGGTGTAATTCCAGGTAGATTGACTTCAAGGTTACAACCTCTTGATGTATCTGTTAATAGTAGTTTTAAAGCAAAGGTAAAATTTATTTATATTATTTAATATTGGTAATAGTAGTTAATACTGGTAATAGTAATTTATTATTTATTATAGTATCGAGCATTGTATACAAATTGGATGGCAAATACGGTACATAAGCTTACTAAAGCTAGAAAACTTAAATGATCTTCATATGCATTAGTTGCAGAATAGGTAAAAGAAGCTTGGGAAAATGTAGATCCAGAACTTATTAAAAGATCATTTTAATGTTGGTATTTCTATTAAAACAGATGGCTCTGAAGATGATCTTTTATTTGATTATGATAGAGTAGAATGATTAGAAAAAGCAGATCAATTAGGATCTGAGGAAAATAAAATTACAACATTAGATGAAGCTACTGAATTGGATGAAGTTACAGAATTGGATGAAGATATAGAAATAGATAATACTGGTACATATGAAGCTTCAAAAGATGAGGAAAACAAATATTATGCTGATGAGAATGAATCTGTTAACCATTTAGTAGAATCTCAAGAAATCAATATTCTTAAAAATAATCTTGAAAATATTAATTTAGGTGAAGATAACGAAGAGGATAGTGATTTAGAATAATGTTATATTGTATTTTTCAATATTTGATTGGTTCAATTTAAGTATAAAGCTTATTTGTATATGTATACTATATGGCTTGATATAAAAAGTTGTTAAATAAAAAACTTTGCTTTTAATCAACTATGTGGTATCATATATTTAATTATGCTTTTAAGATTTTTCTAAGTTTCGAATATAAAAATTTTCAACATGATAATGTTAGGATTTAGAGTTAGAGTTTGTGTTTGGAAAGGATTTTTAGATTCATAGAGTATTTTTATTTAGAACATCTTGAACTGATTAATTAGCCAGTTTTTGAGATAATATAGATGTGTTTTATTTAATTTTTTTTTTTAATATTAAGGTGATCACTTAGGCCCTGGCACTTGGCTTTATTCAGATAAATACGATATTATATCAATTTTCACAAGGATACAACTAGCCACACGTGTATTTTTGGTACCTAATTTAAGTAGTCCGCCTGGGTTCTATACTAGCCACCATACCTGCAACCTAACTAGGAGATTACCTATTTAAGCTCTCTGATTATTAACTAACGAGAGTACAACTAGCCATACATGCAACTTTTGGTTGCCTATTTAAGTAGTCTGCCCTAGGTTCCACACTAGCTGCCGTACCTGCACCCAACTATGGAGGATACCCATTTAAATCCTCTGGCTCCATTTCTGTAACACACTTTTACCTTACCACTCTTAATGAGATTAGCAATGCTATGGAAGGACCTTAAAACTTTAGCCACGTGGGCATTTATCCTTGTAATAAACTTAACAGAAATAGTACATGTCCTACACATGACTCAACCTGCATGTTTGATAACTTTTCCCCAACTAATACATGTTGTGCTGCCACTACTGGGTCCATATCTCAAACTATCTTTTTGAATACTGCCATAACCTGATTCGTATCTCAAGCCACAACCTTTCTAATTAGTTTTCACTTACGTACTCCTACCCTTGCAAGGTTCACAACAACCCCAGTACCCATATTCCAACTTCCTTCTTTTCCAGATTCCTTACTGGTCCCTCCCTTACTTTTAGCCGGCAACCCAGAAGGGTTAGTCTGCTCAGGCTTTAGGTGCTTTATAGTCTCCCTCCTCTTGGTATATGCTTCTGGAGTACAAGTCCTTTTCCTCTAGTAGCGAGCTGGCAATTTAGCTAGTGTGTCCCCCCACTTAAGGACCTGGTCGCTCGGTTCTCTGGTCTTAGTTTTCAGTTCCAAATTCAGTCTTCCTGTAGCACTGTTGAAGATTACTGCTACTCCTAACTCGGGACTTGTCAAACAGGTTTTTAGTAATTTCAGTTTTCTAGATTTATTGCGCCAAAGCTCCCATTCAAGATGGTGTAACCAAGATTACAGATATTTGGATACAACTGATAAACTTAACGTTAACCAATACAGATCTAGTTTTTTTTTCGAAATCATCATCTGTGGGATTCAAACTCTAAACCTGCCATTTGGGGTGCGACAACTCCACCACTTTACTAAGTCTAGTATATAATTTTTAATTTTTATTTACTATAAATAAGTATATTAAATATATCAGCAAATTTTATCTAACAATTAATTATATACTTCTCTTTATTTTAGATATTCATACTTATATATTTAAAATAAGATCTCATTCAAACATCTTTATTTATAAAATTAGTTTATCTATGATTAAAAAATTCAATAAATATTAGAAAAATAGCAACTTACTATATATAATTATATATATTCTAAATTCTCAATACAAATTGCAATTTATATTATTTTATTATTACAAAAAAAAAGAACAAGAACCAAATTATATTAATAAAAAAGTACAAAATATTCATACAAAATAAATTATTGCTAATTTATTTATTTATTTTTTTTTTTAAATATTAAGGTGACCACTTAGGCCCCTGGCACATAGCTTTATTCAGATAGTTATGATATTATATCAATTTCACAAGGATACAACTAGCCACACATGTATTTTGGTATCTAATTTAAGTAGTCTGCCTGGGTTCTACACTAGCCACCATACCTGCAACCTAACTAGAAGATTACCTATTTAAGCTCTCTGATTATTA